TCTGATCCCAGACCTGGCAGACTACGAGTGGCGGGACGTTTAACAATGTAAGAGTTCTAGTTCAACTTTTAAACAAGTATGGGATTTTGAAATGGAAAACATGTAGGAACCCTGAGATTAGTACATTTTTAGAGATAATGCCCAATTTATATATTTTAAAGGCCCCCTGTGTAAGAATTTCTCCCATCTAGTGGTTAGGTGTTGTATTGCAACCAACCTCTCAAGCGCGCCCTCTTTTAGAAATACGGTAACTGTCGCATATCAAAAACTGGCACTAGTTCCGGATTCCTAGGCTCGTCAAAACATAAACTTTTCTCTGAATAAGCAATAACAAAATATTAATATAATGTTGTGTACTATTTTATTGCCATTGCTTGTGTGCCTGTGTGTGATGCCAATGAAACACTCTTTCGGACACAGAAAAAATAGTTTAATTTTTCCTGTTAACCGTTAGCACAGTAAACGGAAAGTGAATGGGAATGGCTAACGTTAATGATGTTCGCTAGCTAGGTAGCAGCTAAGGACTTTGAACTTATATTATAGAACGTATATTGTTGCAAACTAACCTAAAATACGTTCAGCAACTTTGTGGTACTAATTCTAGAAAAACTATGTTAGGTCTCTGGGTCTACAGACTAGAGATCAAATTGGACAGTGACGGATCACATACAAAGTTATTTTTCTCTTTATTTATTTAGTTGGAAAATACAATTCAATGTCGGAACGTTAGGAAGATATGTGGCTTGTAGAAAATGAGTTCATAACTTACCTTTGCTGAATGAATTCTGCAGACACCAAAGACCGAGCTGTATTTCGCATTGGCGCACGTACATCGAGAGTCGCCCCTGCGCTATGTAGATGTAAATAAAGGGTTTCTAAGCCAATATGTATGCTTCAAATTAGTGGTGGTGGTAATTAAACATGAATGGGGCCACATTTATGAATGGGAAATGTTGATTTTGTTAACAAACAACTGAAAACGTTACACAGGGGACCTTTAACATAAAATTTCACATCTTGTAATAATGAAAAAAAAACATTACTTAATGTCAGCCAGGCAAGTTTCATGGAGATATCGCAGGGCTGTTAGAGTCAACGCATCAGTACGCAGCTAAGTTTCAGCTACCCAAAAATATTGACAGTACTTAGCTGGTTGAGCGAATTTGTGAAGCATAGGATTACGGAGTCAAAATTTTCAATAGGCTATAATCAACGTCGCGTGTGTGTGATGCACGAAACGGGAGGGAGGGGCGAGCTAACTTGGTTTGTTTGGGATCTCGCTTCAAACACAAACAGAAGTGACATCACCCACAATCGCTGATACAACCTTTAACATCCAAACTGACACTTTTTTGGGCCAGGCAGTGTTTTATTTACGACTTATTTTATTATTTATGACCAGTTGGAAGGCACAGGTGAATTATCAGAGAAGAAAAAGATAAGATAACATAAGGATGTCGCTTCGTTTTGATAAACTTTTTGTGGACGGCAGAGTTTTCACTTATGTCTACGAGTCAGAGTCTGAGGTTGAAATTGGACTGAATAATGAAGACACATTTGACACTCGTGCAAGGTGGGATGACGGCCTCAGCCCAGATGAATTTACTATGATCTCATGATAACAGTGAGTTAATGGATACCTTGCGGGGAAAATCTATCATCTGCTTGACTGAAGTGTGGTCAAAAGATGAGTCTGAGTTCTGTCATTTATTGGCTGGTTACACATGTTTTTGTCTCATACATAAGCGTGTGGCAGCTTTTGGACGTAATATTGGAGGTATATGTGTATATGTACATGATTCCATTGTGAAGCACTTTTCTCGGATTTGTAAACAATCAACTGACTGTATATTTTTATACTCTGACAAAGAGAGTGGATTATTTGGTGATAATATTGTTTTTGCCTTTTCGTATATTTTTCCCGAGGGATCCAGTTCATATAGAAATAGAGAAGAGAAAAATGGCATAAATTCTTTGGAAAATGACATTTTAAGTGTGCTGGATCAAGTAGGAGAAGATGTTAAATTAATTATCTCAGGAGATTTTAACGCTAGAACAGGCAATGAATGTGAGTGTGATAATTCTGAATATATATAATGTGGTAGATATTACACAAATGATTATTTTGAATGGAATAGAAAATCAAAAGATAAGGTTGTTAATATTTTTGGTCGCTGTCTTTTGGATACGTGTCGTAGTTTAAATATACACTTTGTAAATGGGAGAGTAGGAAAAGATAGGATGGTGACGTTACATTTGTGTCTGCAGCTGGATGCAGTGTGATTGATTACTTCATCATATCCAGTGAACTATTTGCACATGTCAGCGATTTTGAAATTCTACAGGTGAAAATTTCTGATCACTTCCCATTATTGTATACTATGAGAGCAAACAGGGTTGATTCAAGGATTAAAATGAAGAATGACAGCCTGGCTAGACCCTGGATAAGATTTAAATAGGGAATTGATGGCGAGAGGCAATTTCTGCAAAGACTATCTTATTTATTGAACAGAGACTTTTTTTATAACTTTTTTACTAATGTGGAAGAAAATACTAATGTAGCAGTTATGATTCTGACAGACTGTTTACATGAAGCAGGTAGATTTTTGATTAAAACATTTAAGTCGAAAAGTAAACAACCAATGTGGTGGGATAGAGATTGTTCATCTCAGAAACGTGTAAAAAATAATGCTTTAAATCAATTCAGAAGAACAGGTAATGTGAGCAATTTGAACAGTTATGTCCTTGAGAGGCAACATTTAAAAAACTTATGTAATAGTAAAAAAAAGCAGTATAACTCTAATGTTTTTGTGTTACAGAATGACATGAAAACACAACAGTTGTGGAAGAAAGTTAAAAGTCATGGAAAATTTAACACAAAGGCAAATGATATCAAGGACGACAAGTGGCTAAAATACTTTACCACGTTTTTGTCCGACTCAAAATTTGATATGGATGAAGACTTTGAAAAAGTTGTGGTAAATCGTCTGAACGTCCATGAAACTGCCAATTTTTATCAAGTTGAAGTCTTTAAACAAGTTGAAGTTTCGGATAGCAACATTACTTATGATGAAATGTTTAAAACTATTATGTCCATGAGCAATGGAAGAGCCCCTGGTCCAGATGGCATTATTATTGAGATGATGAAAGCAGCAGCACACATATGTTATGTCCTATTTTGCTCTCTTTATATAATAAAATATTAGATACAGGTGATTTTCCTGAGGCTTGGTGTGAGGCGATTATATAAGAGTGGTGATAGAAACAATGTTGAGGAATCTCATTGCTTAATGTATTTGGTAAAATTTTTACACAAATTTTGAACAGGAGACTAATTATTTTTGTGGAAGCAAATAATATGTTTTATGAAGAACAAGCAGGTTACAGGTCAGGTTACTCCACAACGGATAATATTTTTATCCTACAGTCGGTTGTTCAGAAATATATTACAAAGCGAAAAGGAAGGATGTACTGTATATTTATTGATTTCTCCAAAGCTTTTGATAGCATCCAGCATAGTCTCCTGTATTTTACACTCATTAGGAATGGTATTGGTGGAAAAGCTTTTGGTGTACTGAAATCTATGTATTCTAAACTCAAATCTTGTGTGAAAGGAATTGATGGTTTAACTGAGTATTTCGACTGTACCATTGGTGTACGACAGGGCTGTATGGTGAGTCCTCTTTTGTTTATTCTTTTCCTAAACGGATATATAACTATGCTAAAGGAAAACTGTAAAGGTAAAGGTATTCAGATCGAAAGTATCACAGACCTTGTTGTATGCGGATGATATGGTTAATGTGTCAGATACAATTGGTGGATTGCAGAAGGAAATTGAACAGCTCGAAATATTCTGTAACCGCTACGGTATGAGAGTGAATTTAAGTAAAACTAAGGTTATGGTTTTTAGAAGAGGGGGCTCTTTAAATAAGAATGAAAAATGGCATTTTGCTGGTGAACAGATTGAAGTGGTTAATGCTTATAAATATCTGGGTATATGGTTTTTACCAAAATTGTCATGGTGGAAAACTCGACAACACTTGGCAAACCAAGGAAAGGCGGCAATGCTCTCTTTATTAAGGTTTGTTCGTTAGCATAAAATTAGCTGTAACCAAGCGCTGTATTTGTTCGACCACATGGTTGCACCCATATTGTATTATGGATCTGAGATATGGGGCTTTGAACCTTCTGTAAAAGACTCCTATGTATCAGTACGGGTGTGAGCAATGTAGCTGTTCTGGGCGACCTGGGTAGATTTGCATTGTCTACTACTTATATGAAAAGGTGCATCATGTACTGGATAAAATTAGTGTCCATGTCTAATTACCAGTATCCAAGAACATGTTATAATATGCTTTTTCAGTTAGATGAAGTAGGTAGAAAATCTTGGGTTTCCTGCATTCGAGTTCTATTGTATCTCAACGGTTTCTCTAGTGCTTGGGAGGCTCAAAGTGTAGGTGATATAAGAATATTCACATCTATTCTGAATCAACGATTGAGAGAAAGAGCACAAAATGCATGGTACACATCAGTACTAGATAATAAGAAGTTGAATATACAGTATATTCACAATGCAAGTCAATGGTGGTACATTGCATCTGTACATAACATACAGTTGGTACGATCTCTGTTATTGTTCAGCTGCTCAGGGCACTGTTTAGCTATAGAAACGGGTAGATGGAGTAATATACCTATGACTGAGAGAATCTGTAGTTATTGTAAATTAACTAATACCTCTGTGATTGAAGACGAGAAACATTTCTTGTATGATTGTTCTTTGTACACTGATCTGCGTAAGAAATATTTGAGTGATCTCACACTTGTGGGTGATGTTTGTGTTGATGTGTCACAGGTTTGTGAGTCAAAGCATGCATGGAGATTGGCATTGTATATCATGGAATGAAAAAAAGAGCATCTGTCATGCTATTGTGATTTTGGAACTATGGGCAGAGAGGCCGTGTATTCCTGAAATAAAACTAACTAAAAACAGAGGAGGAAAAGAGGGCTATTACAGACCTTGCAGTGTCCTGGGATTTGCCTGGTGTGACATCAGAAAACAGAAGATGGCTGCTTGACAAACTGCTCATTCATGCAGTGAGTATGCACTATTGGTTGGAATACTCTTAACATTTAGAAATGCAATGTATGTTTCCATTCCAAATTAAATTATGTGAAGGTCCTTGAAAGAACCTCCAAGCAAGTAAAGCAGCTTCGGCGGGGTTTGAAGGAAACATTGATCCGGCCTTTGCTAACTGAGAGGAAAGACACTGTTCCTCTTCTCTTTCCTAGGACTTGTGATACAGTGTACACCCCACTGGTAAGATATGGGCCATTTATGTAATGTTGTTGAGATGTACAATTCTTTAGTAATGATGATTTTGTCAATGTGCGTGTCAGATGGTTCTAGAGAGGATACTTTGGCCAACACATGATGAAGACTGCGAGGCCTCTCTTGAAGACACATGTAGGCTAACCGGATTCCTTCGCACCTTCATTGGAAATGGTAAGTATATGAGAAATCAACTAACTTTTTGCTTTGGATGCTGGATTTTTTAAAATTATTTTGTGTTTCTTGAGGGGCACTTATGTTAATAGGGGCTGTCATTAACGATGGTATTCGAGTAGTCGGTTCATTATTCTGATGATTAATTGAGCAATCAGATTTTTTGTCATTTGTAAGTGAACAACAGCCTTTAAAATGACTTGGAATACAGTTATTTTAACAATTATTAATAACGATAAGGCAATAACTGGTTCAAAAGTAATAATCATATGGTTTATTAGAACAAACATGTTTAAACACAGTGCAATATAATATAAAGAATATAACTAATGTACATTATGTATTATAACAAGAGCCTGCAAAGGACGCCCGTGGTCTAAAGATTGTCTTTACACTTTATCTCGCAATCTTGTTTAATATTGGCTTACATTTAAATCAAATATCCACTTAATTTTGTATATTTGGACATTTCAAAATGCTACAGCCACTGTAATTTCTTTAAGTTTCAAATTTCTTGAACAAGAACATGCTGAACTCAGAGTGAGGGTTAACTTTTATTTTGAAATCACAATGAGCAGTTAGCATATTTTTAATTGCCATTTAAATTCAGTCTGTGATGCTACAAATGCTTTTATTTTTATGCAGCTTCTTGTAATTTCTTACGGTTTCTAATGAAATTCTGGACTGGATGGGATATGGGACCAGGAGCCTAGATGTCGAGGCGGTCCACATGCTATCAAACTCTCAAGCTTCCAAGTCATTACAAGGACTACGCTTCCTTTGAGAGAGATATTTTAGCTGCTATCTGGAGCTCAGATTATGGATTTGAAATGGTCTAAGTTTATGTTACAAAGATGCCCTTTTTCAAAATGTTTCATGTCTAAATCGGATATTTAGTCAGAAAATCTCAAACATGTTTGGCATGCTGCAATGTTCAGAGCTTTGGCTATGCCAAAATAGCATTTGTTATGAAATGTAAGAATTTATTTGCATGGATGTACTAAAAAGATTCTGTTCTAGACATTCTAGCTATACTAAACGGTTTGGAAATAGGGAAGAATATTCACTGGTTGCACTTGCAAGAGTTCATTTATATTAACTGGCACTGTTAAAATGTCCCACTTTTTCTTCCTGGAAATCCAGTCTGTGAGTCTTGTAAGCAATTTTTACATGTGTCCAAAACTTTGTTGTCAAAAATACACCAAACTAAGCTTTGGTCTAAAAAGTTATTTGAAATATTTATTGACCTTAGTACATTCAAAGTCATCATTACACAAGTTCAATAAAAAATATTTGTTGTCCATGCATGGTTCTTTACAGATTATATTTTTTGGGAGGGTTTAATAGCATTAACATTAATGAATGACTGAGATCAGAACTAGTGAAATGCATATTTAAATGGTGAAAAGAGGTCAAAAACTGGCACATATAATTCAATTCAATTCAATTCAAATTTATTTGTATAGCGCTTTTCACAATACATATTGTTTCAAAGCAGCTTTACAGAAAGTGCATTTCAGAAATGTACATAGAAGAATATAGTTAGTTAATCATCATGTATTAATTTAGGGCATAACATATCGCCGGCGTTGAGTCGTCTCTTCACAGGCGTCAAGTCGTCTCATCGCAGGTGTTGGGGCATCTGAAGTCTCCGTGAGAGGCTGGATACAAACTGGAGCTGACGAACGCTATTTACCAAGGGACTAGCGTCCCGAGATAACAGCAGAAAAGCAGATGGGAAATAATTAGCGTAGCTGCTGTTCATAATATTAATGCATTCGATCTGATTCAACAGTGGTATAAAAGGTAAGCATTATGTGAATGCTTGGCTGAAGAGATGCGTCTTTAATCTAGTTTTGAACTGGGAGAGCGAGTCTGAGCAACGAACAGTATCAGGAAGGCTATTCCAGAGTTTAGGAGCTAAATGTGAGAATGCCCTCCCTCCTTTAGTGGACTTAGATATCCTAGGATATCCTAGATATCCTTTTTAATATAAGCGCAACTAGCTGATGCTCTCTCTTTGAAATTGTGTATACTTGCTACTCAAGCATTTCGGATAATAACATTACAGTCTCTCTGTACACATCCAACACATTAGACAGGGGGACATCTGGGTCTGGTAATCTTTCAACATCCTCCCGACGTGTAAGTTGATGTATTTGTACTTCAGGGATCACCACACCGGGTTCATGGTGACCGCATGGCCCTCTCCAGTCAATACCATATTGCATGGCATCTACCTGTAATAGACAATTGATAATTAAACATTTTCTGACTCGGGTTTTTATATGTTGTCTAATTGATCTAACTTATGGTTTTCCTCAAAATGATTATCAAAATCCCATAGATTATGGAGAGAATCATCTGATGAGCCAAGACTGTTAAACTAAGTTTAAACACACCGAAGCCCATTAGACTCATTTAAAATACCCTAATTTATAATCTATCATCTAATATTTATCTATCCATTCAATCACAAGTTAATCCATGTGTCATAAATGCTAACCAGCTTTGATATAAATACCTGGATAGGGTCTTGCAGTTGATGACTTAACCAGAGCCGTATTGGTGTCTGGTTTCCTTCTGTCCGCAACTTGTGGTGGTTCTGAAGTACTGGAGGTGTTTCTGTACATGTGGCAAGAGGGCATAGAGATGCAGATATCGATGCAGATATCGTCTGGATTCAGAAGTCCGTCATTCTCAAGGTTGGTGAAGATTGTGTAGAAGAGATCAAGCACTCCAGCATAAACATCTCTCCACAACCTTTCAATCCTAACACAGTGAAATAACCAAAATACAAAACATTTAAAACAACGACCAATATTCATAATGTTGTGCATGAAGTGGAGCTTCCATAGCCTAAAACAAATCTGTAAATCTATTTTACAAATGTGGGGATTTAGTTTCACATACATTACAATTTTTTTTAATTTAAGAATTTTGTAACTTTATTTTATTCAAGAAACCATGCATATCTTGGAAACCTTTGTAACTTTATTTTATTCTAGAAACCATGCATATCTTGGAAACCTTTGTAACTTTATTTTATTCTAGAAACCATGCATATCTAACCATGCATAATTGTTTGCATTTCTTTGTAAAAAAAAATCAAAAACTGATTATACCTCTGATTATGGACTGTGATGTGCGAGTTTCTGTTCTCTTCTCTGGTGGAAACCATGAAACGAGCAACATCGACATTCTCCCCACCTTTATCTGACCTCACACGTGACGGCACACTATACAGGGTGACAGCTTCTAAAAAGCTGGTCAGGACTGCAGCAGCTTTATTATTGGTGGCAGCTTTCAAGAATACGATTAGACGGCTAAAGCCATCGATTCCACCATGAACCACAATACGCCACCTGGAACAGATATAGGAAAATTTATTTCAACAACATTAACAACTAGGCTTTTGAGTAATGATATAAAACACATTCTACATTCTATAGTAAATCAAAACAGCCAAAACAGTACATCACATAGGGTAACTAAACCCTAAAACAGCTTTTTTTAGTTAATGATCTGTAAGACTGGGGCTTTATTAATGCTGTTCATTGATTCAAGTAAATTTTTTTGACATTTGGGTAAGAAGTGTTTTAATTCTACAATATATGGTGTGAAAGCGTCTGAGTGCTGCCCTCTTCAGGTTGAACGGTGGCTACTGCAGTTGAACTTTCCTATTGGAAGGTGTGGTACCCTGTGACGTAAGCGGGTACCAGCTAACCACGCCCCCTTGCCTACAGCATGGCCGTTTCTCAATATGCGTTCTTGTCTGTACTTGTGTTCTCGTGGACTTGTGAAACGTCATCAGTCGCTGCCCAAGCTGTTCCAATTCAAAGTTCACATCTAGCCAAGTCCAGTTCAAATCCCCGGATGTGTTCTTGATCCGCCCCTTTTACCGAGGATGCATCTAGAGGTGACTTATGCGGACTTGATACGGGCCATAACCAGAATTCATTTCGCACCAGGTTCGCACAAATGGCGGAGGAGAAAACTCACAACTGTAAGGAATACATTTCGAAATACTTATTGTTGTTATATCACGAAATGTAGTTGTAAGAGTTTTGATGCCAGAATGTTGTTTAAACTTCAAAGCTACATTGAATTTTAAGGTTAGCAATTACCGTATTTTCCGCACTATACGGCGCACCGGATTATAAGGCGCACCTTCAATGAATGACCTATTTTAGAACATTTTTCATATATAGGGCGCACCGGATTATAAGGCGCATAAGATACTGCAGTCAAACGTTTGACTGGGTTTGCATTATGCATCCACTAGATGTCAACAAATGTCAACAAAACAGTCAGATAAAGTCAAACTTTATTAAGCTTTCTGACAACTCGGTTCACTCCCATGGTAACGTTGTTCAAACGTTAAAGGAAAACTCCGGTCAATTTTAACATTGAGCTCATTTTTTGTAAATTTGGAGTGCTGTCAGTACAGAGAACAACGACAAAAACCGGTGTTGCCTACACCGTGTTATCCTCTTTTTAAAATGTGCACCCTGTTGACTTAAACGGGACAAGTTTTAAACCCGCTTTTAGCCTCTTAACAACCTTAATGTGTCATTACAAGTGCACAGCCATGTGAGTGAACACAGTGAATCTGACTCCAGTAGATGTGAAAGATATTAATAAAAATGATGTTTATTCAGCCAGCTCACATACCCCATTTTCTTCCTGTTTTCGGTCGAAGTCCACAGTAGGCGATTGTCGAGTGCGCGCGCGCGATCATTGGTAACTAAGCAACAGTGGAGACTCAGACTGTCAGCTGTCAGCCGATGACGGTGCTGTGTGGTGTTCTGAGAATATCAGCTCAAATGGATAGTTCATCCCAGAGCCACGGCTCTGGTTCATCCGAATCAGATACTGTGGACTTCGGCCGAAAACAGGAAGTAAATACGGGTATGTGAGCTGGCTGAATAAAGAGATTATTCCTGCCTTCGTGAAAGCTCGGATCACAGTTGAGACTGATATATCAGCCCAGG